AAATTTATGCAAGAGATTCAAAAAAATCATTTAAAAAAGTTTATAAAAATGTAGTGTACGTACTAAAGAAAATTCAAAAAAAAAAAAAAATCGTTTAAATAAAAATTCTATGAAAATTCGGTCTAATAAAAATTTATTCTTATAAAAATTTATTTCATTATAAAAATTCGAACAAAGGAATTTTTAAAGAATATTCATATTTTTTTATGTTCATTGTTTTATAAAAAAAAAAAAATATATCAACTTTGAATAATTTCTATTTCTAATAAATAAAAAAAATGGAAATAAAAAAAAAAATGTTCCGCATGAAAAAAAGGACATTTAGAAATCCTTGATAAGTCGATAACTTTATCCTCTGTAGCCAATAAATTTGTCTCTAATAAAATTGAGGTGAAATCTTAAAATGTCGTAACTTTATTTGAATTGCTCGGAAAATTTTCTGATTGCATATAGTTCGCGTGACTTGCGTGAACTTTTTTTTCTCCCCCCCCCCCCTCCCCCCTTGAAATCGTATTTTATATATAAAAGGTATATATATATATATATATAACTGCGTTTCAAGAACGGGATAATTTAATTTTTCGAGAATCACAGAAAGACTTGTATTCGATTCCCCTCGAGATTTCTGGCAAAGTTTTCAAAATGAAATTTTGTATGTGGGTTTCAATTTGGTTCTGTTTCCCTTTTTATATATAATACAAAATGCAATTTCTCTATACATTGAGAAAAAAAATAAATATAATTTACAAAAAAAACAAACTTATACGATACTTTTGCTGAGAAAAGTTCATAGTCAATCAATAAGTGTTAAATCAATAATATTTGGTATAGTAAATTTCAATACGATTGAATATGAAAATTTTCGTTTAAAAATTTTTTTTTAAAAATAATGACATGCAAAATAATTAAAAATAAACAATTAGAAAATAGTCAAATAAAAAAAAAATAAAAAATAATAAAATAATAGTACAATTAATAATGAAAGAAAAATTTTTTAAAATTATATATTAATTGTTTTATGAGAAATTTTAATTCTCGCTATAAAATTTTGGTAGGGTCAGTCGGGGTAAATCCGAACGGGGGGTAAATCCGAACGCTAATTATTTCAGCTTAATTAAAATTTTTAAAAATAAGTTCGATATGAGAATTTTTACCTCAGATCCTCTTGAAGAGATTCTAAGTATTATCCCATTTTTTGTTTGTTAATTAGCAACAGCATAAACAAAGATAACAAGTATTGCAAAAAAGATTGAAAATCAAAGATGACACTCTTTCAGTATTTTGTCTCGTATTTGAAGAAAAAGAAGCTAAAAATTCATTTTATTATTTATAATTGTTTGTTATGAATACTAGAACAGAAACTATATTTGATTTTTGCCTTCTGTAAAATTTTATTAATAATATCAGACCGTTCGTATTTACCCAAGAAAATTGGAAAACTGGGGTAAATCCGAACGGTATTTTTAATAATTTTTTTTTACATCAAAGCCACACAAAATTGTTTTTATTTGATTACACTATTATTTTAACATTATAAAAGTACATAGAAAAAAGTTTTTCTTTCTATACGTATCCTCGTTAGTAATTAATAAGCAGAAACTTAATCTCTGTTCTCTCGAAGGAGTGTTTCAATTTTTTTGCCAAATGGTTTGTTGAAAAAAGTTTTTCAGGATCTTAATAAAATTTGGTATTCTACGGTTTTTGGGGTCGCTAATTACCAATTTGAAGTCAGTTTTTCAAAATTCAAAATGGCGGACGAGAATTAAAAAATTCATTGGATTCGCTCGAAAATTGTTACTCGGGGGGTTTCAGGGTTAGCAAATTTGATCATTTTTAAAAATAAGTTTTAGGAAAGTACGCCATTTTGAATTTAAAAAATTTGACTTTTATTTTTGTATTTACATTCAATCACTCCAAAATACTTTCTGTAGCAAGTTTTGCAAAAATCCGTTATGATTTGATAAAGTTATTGAAGGTTTTAATTGTGTAATGCATTTTAATTTTTAACCTGTTTGATTTTTGTATTTATATATGATGCATTATTACATAATAGGTTTATTATCGTATTTTTTTTGAGTTTTTATATAAGTTTAACAATTGCAATACTTTAAATTTATTTTCCCTAAGATTTTTCTGAAATACAGTGGCGTTCGTATTTACCCCCATATTTTAGGAAAGTTCCAAAGTATCGAGGTAAATACGAACGCTAAGTTTCCTGCGATTGTAATTTATCAAAAATTTGTTCTACCCCATAAAATTGTTCTATGGAAGTAAAGTAACAACTTCATGCACCAGAATACCGGAAGTATTTTTTTTTTAAAGAAAAAACTTATGTTATTGTTGAAACTTAGTAAAAGCGTTCGGATTTACCCCGGTTGACCCTATTTGATTTATACACGGAGAAAAAGAAAAAGTAATTTTTACTACTTTCAGAGTAAAACTGGACCAACAACTCGAAGTTTCTGCGCATCTCTGGCAATTTTTACTCCAAAAATAATAAAATTTATTATTTCTGTAGTAAATTTTACTGTTTCCGTAGTAAGTTTTACTATTTCTAGAGTAAATTTTACTATTTTTGGAGTAAAAATTGCCAGAGATGCGCAGAAACTTCGAGTTGGTCCAGTTTTACTCTGAAAGTAGTAAAAGTTACTTTATAAAAGAAATCTTTTTTCTCCGTGTAGTTTTTTTTTCTTCTAATAAAAGCTCTCTGATATTTCACGTTTAAAAAAATTTTAGTTTTGTCTTATATTTTCGGCCACACTCTGTAATAATAAGAAAAATTAAAATAAGAAAAATAAAATAATTTAAAAATATAATTTAAAAAAAAATGAAAAATTGAGTTGAATTAGACGAATTTTTTCTCAGCAAAAAAAATTATTGCGTTATTTATAAGAATAAATACTTTTATAAAGAAGTTTTCTTATACTTTTATTTTTTTGAGAAAATCTTTCATTTTGCAAAGCCTATACTTTCGTTAGGAAGCTGAGATAGAAAAATCACAGGTCAATCCTATTATCCGAAAGAAGCTTCCTCAGAGCGGAAACGTAAATAATAGTAGTGAGATTGTAACAAAATCACTGTGATGTTAAAACTTTTGTTTCAAAAGATTTATCAAGAGATTCTATTTCATTAATTATTCCTTTGGAGAGGTAAAAAAATAATAAAAGATTCATGAAAGATTTGCAAATTATAAATATATATATTTTTTTAATAACAACAATTTTTAATAAACTATTACAAAATATTATGTATTTTTAATTGTCATTAATTTCAAAGGATCTATTTATTATAATAAATTAATTTAATAATAATTATAAAAAAGTGATAATTTAATTGATAAATATAGCAAATTTGATTGTTTTTTTTTTTTTTTATAATTTTGATAAATAAATAATTTGAGAAAAAAAATTTTTTTGTTTTTGCAATTAACTCTCTTTAGACAATATAATATAGTATAGAGCTTTTATAATTTTAATGATACTCAAGATTTATACTGATTGCAATTATTTAAAACTTGAGAAAAACACTTGAGAGACATAAAAGGAGAAACTAAGTAGTATTGATGAAATTTATCTTTCGCAAAGTTCACTTCTGACTGACTTCCTTTAATTAAAGTTTGTTGCTTTTCTAAGTCATCTTTTCGATGAATTAACTTCATCTAACTATAGACCATCGTGAAATTATTTGTCGCGTTTTACGAAACTCTATCTATGGAATTTCCTTTTATGCGTCAAGTTACGCTATCTTGAAAAATATCTCGAGGCAAAAGGAAATTAAATTAATGAACAATGTTAAGATCAAGAATATCTAATTATTATTCACAAACTACATTTAATATAAAATTTGAAAATTGAAAAAAAAAATTATTTTTATTTTAAAATTATTAAATTAAATTTTGAAAAATAATAATAATAATTTTAAAAAAGTAAAGAAAAATTTAAAGAAATTTTTTTCAATTTACTTTTAATGTTTTCGTTTATAGTTATATTAATAATATATTAATATTTGTCCAAAAAATAAAATTTATTTGATATTTCAAAAGTTTTAACTTTTGAATTGTTTCAAAAGATAAGTTTCAAGACGCATCCTGACAGGAAAATAAAATTTTAAACTCTTTGTTTGCATAGAAGTTTGTTTAAATTTTATTTACAATTGACTAGTTACTCTAAAGTTTCCTATATTGAAGAACAATACAAGCTTTTGTGATAGAAAATTTACTGTTCGTATTCCAGATAACTTCTGTCACGGAAGAAGACATATAATAATAATAATAATAATAATAATAATAATAGCATTTGAAAATAAATTATTATTTTTTTCTCACACATATAAGTCTGGTAATAGTTTATTAATAATAAAAAGAAAAAGAAAAAAATCTCGATTTTTGAAATAAAAATTAAACCAAATTTTTAATGATGTAATCAATTTAAATCTTGAATTTTAATAATTTAATAACTTACTAATGCAACTAAATTTAATAATAAAAATTAATTCGTAAATAGAATCAAATTTATATTAAATACAACACAAACTTGAAAATAAATTCAAATTTGAAGATAAAAAGTCAAATTTTGACATGAGAGAAAATTTGAATTTATAAAAAATATTAAAAACAAAACTAAATTTGGAAATGGAGAAAATACTAAATTTTTTTAAAAAACTTTTTCCCTGAATTGAGAAATTTTTTTTTTTAATTTTATTATAATTTTAAAAATTCCCTTATTAATTGTATTCTATTTTTTCTGACCAGAAACATTTTTCAATTAATTAAATTAAATTTATTTATTCTCTTAAATAAAAATTCTCTGACATGATCTATATTTTGTCTTTTCAATTTCTATAATTGTTTAACAGTAAGTTTTTTTTTAAACGATTTTATCGCAAATTTTTTTTTTACAAATAGTGTATAAAAAATGAATTAAAAATCTAATTTTTGAAATTTAAATTTTTCAAGATAATTTATGTAAATTTACAAATCGAATTTCACTTTTGTTTTTCAGACTTACGACGATAACGGACCTGAGAATGCAGCCTTACTATACAAACTTTTGAGACGACTTGGAACACAATTGGCCGTTGGTGAATTGCAAAGAAAACGCAGTTACTGGAAGCAGTGCGCCTTTAATGCAGTTTCATGCTATGGCAAGTAGGCTAAAACAGAGTGAGAGACAATAAATACAAAAAAAAAAAAATCCGTCTTTCTCTCATTCCCTCTTTTGTCGTCCAGTCTATAAACTATAAATCGATGTACTTCCAAAAAAAAAAATTCTTATTTAATCCAAAACATACTATTTCATTAATTTTCGAAATTGTACATGTGAAAAATGTTTCTAGAAAAAAAAATATATATATTATCGATGAAAGCCGCCCAAATGAGAACCCGATAAAATCAGATCCCAAAAATTAAAAATAGAATTTTTTTTTACTCTTTTTCCTTCTCATTGATACCAGAGAAAAAAATTTTCATTCAGAATTTTGAAACTGAAAAATTCGATTATCGAATTAAAACAACTTTTAAATAAAAAAAAAATTAAATTATCGAAATGAAAAAAAATATGAATGGGGAAAATTGAAAAGAAAAAAAAACTGTTTTAACGAAATAAAAGTAATTTTATCTGATTCTCATTTTTCTGCTTATTTGATGGATGCAGAATGTCAAAAAAAAAAAAAAAAAGAAACGAAAGCTCTATATATTTTTTGCAAAAAACTATTTAGAGGAGAATAGTTGACAGAAAAAAAATGCGAGGGATTCTATTTTTAATTAATGAACGCATATATATATGTATATGTTCCTATAAATAGAAATTGCTCGTAATAGACGAGAATTATAAGATATTTTTTAATTAGTTGTCTATTTTCCCATTTCCCATTATATGCGCGTCAAAAATCGTAAAATGTCATACATTGTAATAATAATAATAACTCAATTAAAAAAAAAAAATTATTTACATTATAAATTAATTCAAAACTTTGTCGAGATTAACTATAGAGAAATAGAATTTTCAGATTTCCATCCCTTAACCCAAGATTGGTTTCATGTTTTATGCATGGTAGAGTTTTAATAGTATGCAAATTCTATAGATACTTAGACCGGCACCTATAACCGTGAAACGATAACAATTTATTGATTACATGATTAATTTATTGGAAAATACTAACAAGTGACTTGTAATTAAATTTACACTTGTAAAACTAAAAGAATTGTTTTTTTTTCTTCGACTATTGATAACTGATTATATATATTATGATTAATTTTAGAATTATAGAATTTTCACGGTTTTAAGTGATGTTTAATGATATTTTTTAAATAAATAATAAATGTAATTCAGATACAATCGATATTATATATATATACAGTGTTACCTAAATATTTCATCAGTGATTTTTCTGCGTGCTACGAGCAAGACTTTCTTCAAATTGCACTCAGAGAAATGGTATATTTATCTCCGAGCCTACTAACTCATTTATTTGTTGCAAATATATTTCATTTCATTGAAATAAAAAATTTATTTGAGTCAAAGAAAAATTTATTTCTGACAAATAAAATTTTTATTTACGCCAAATAAATAAGTTAGTAGGCTCTGAGACAAATATACGTTTATTTAACAAAAATATATTTTATTTGGTTCAAATAAATCATTTCTCTGGGTGTGATTATTGAAAAATAAGTCTTCCTCATGGATAAATAAATAGCTTATAATTCGAATTCAGTATTCCTGTAAACTCCTCATAGATTACATAACAAAAAAAAAAAAAAAAAAATGAAATCCCTTCCCCCGCAATTTATTTTAATTATTAGAAAAAATATCCCGTGAGTGTTATTTCATTTTTTTTGTTTCAATGTATCTATGTATAAATTATTTCTGAGAATAAAAAATCAAAATGATTTTTGTTGTTATAAAAAACAAAAAATTATTTATTTCTTAATAATCATTCCTGTATAAAGCATATTAATTAGTTATTAATTTTCACCTCCTTTTTTGTAAGCTAAAATGATAAAAAAAAAAAAGATGCTAACAATCTTTTAATATTTTCAACAACAAAAAATATTGTAAATATTACTTTGTATTCTCCACTATATATAAATTGTATAAATTAATTGTATAATGTATAATTAAAAAAAATCTCAGTTACGAAAAATATTTTCTACCATTGATATTCATTATAAATATATTATCCTTGTAGTTTCGAAAAAAAGTTCAACTATAAAATTTGTTCAGCAATTTCTCAATCTTGTCCTGAAAAAAAAACAACATAAATTTAAAAACAAAATTTGAAAATAAATTTTTATGAAATTAAAATGAATTAAAAAATTCTCTTCTGTAGAAAATAAATTTCTCAAAGAAAAATTAATAAAACTTTTAAAAAAATAAAAATTCACATATTTTTTTCACATTTTTCAAATAATTAACAACTATTTATCATTTGTCAAAGTTTCGAAATGAAAGAGTTAATTTTAGAAAATTAACTTCTTAGACTTGATAATTAATTTTCAAATGCAAATAAAATTGAATGCCCATGTTTATTCGTGAATAATAATATTATGTTCAAAAGAAAATCGCGTGCAATTTAATTAACTTGATTGTAAAATTGTTATTTATAAGGTAATTTAAAGGTCTGTAAGAAAAGTAACTACTACCGCGAGTAGAAAAAAAAACCGGTAATGTAATTTTTCATCAAGAGTTGATGTACATAACAATGTCGCAAAGGTCCCGTAGCAATTTCTGGAATAATAATTTACGATTACGTGTATATCTATGGAATGACGAGATTTAAAAACTTTGATGCGTAAAAAAAAATTGTCCTCGTAAAGCAATACGTCAAAATATTGTTATTCATTAACTCATAAAAAACGGGTCTATAAAAAAAAACACAGCCACCTGCTAATTGATAATCCTCTCAATTGAAATTTAATTTATTGCAATAAAATCTTTGTGTAAATAAATCAATAAAAATTTTCAAAAATTCACGAGCTAAATATACTTTTCAGCATTTTTAAAAATAATTTTTTTTTTCTTTGCTGTAAAAATCTCGAGACTAGAATTGTTTTTCAGCATTAACATATATTTATACTTATATATAAAAATAAAAGTAAGTGAATTTACAAAATAATAATTTTCTTCAATAATATAGAATTTAAACAAATAAAATTTTGAATATAACACATAATTACCTATATAAGTAATAGAATTTGAAAAAAATTTCCTACATTAAATTAATTAATTTTTTAAATTAAAAAAAAAATGTGTTGAAATTTTTTAATCTTTTCTGTAAATTTTCTGATTTAGTAAAAGCTAAATTTTTATAATTGATCAAAACGTAAAATTTTAAAATATCCTGTATCTTTCTTTAAAAAAAAAATTTCTTAAACTTTTTTTCTGTTTCGAAAAATGCAAAAATTTCTCTATTTCCAAAAAATAATGTAAATTAGGACAAGTTTTGATAATTTTTTTATCCAATATTTTACGATTATGAGATTTCATAATTATTCAACAATTAAAATGTCTCGCTTAATTGTTTTAACGTGTTATTTTCATTAATTGAGTTTAAATTACCTCATCTTCTATGAGGACAGGGACAAGTGCAATAAACGCCACTCAAAATTACAGCGTACATGGTGGGATCCTGCATTTTCGACTCTAAAGCACAATTTTCCACCCATGATTGGTGAACATGCCTCACACAAGTTGGTACGCCATTATTTTCCTGAAAATATTTAAATTATTTCTTTTATTATTCATTTTAAATAATTAATGCAAATATTCAAGTAATTCAAGAATAATAATAAAGCATTCTATTTATTTCACAAGTGGGAGTGGAATGTGATTTTCTGAATTATATAAATGTAACCAGAAATATTTCTTCTCTTGTGAAAAAATAATTAAAAATTTTAATTAAACAATATATAAATTTTAAAGTTTAATTTTTATTATTAATAAAATTTAATATTTTTATTTTAGAAATATTTGAAATATATGTTTTATTATTTAATTGAAATTAATATTTAATTTATTTACTTCAAATAATGAAAAATTAAAAATAAAATTATGTATATTACATATTTAAAATAATTAAAAATAAAGCTTTATGGAAATTTTCCTTTTTTTTTAAATAAAAAGCAAACTCTCAATAATCAATAACAAGTTATAGGAACCCTGCGAATTATCGACTTGCCAGTAAAAGTTAACGGATAACCGATGTGGGAAGGCAGCAACAATTATTAGTCTCAACCAACCAGTTTAAACGGTTCGGCTATCTAATAGCTTTGGAATAACGTCAGTAATCACTTTACAATTTGATCACATATACTCACGTGTCACACCTTTTTGTAAACGAAATTTTACACGAAGGTTATATTTATTAAATAATTTATTTTCCAATTTTCACACGTTAAATTTCGTTAAAACAAATTATGAACAATAATTAATTACAATTTTTACATGGGAAATTAGAAAATTAAAATAAATTAATTTTTACGAAAAAAAAGATAAATTTTCAAGAATGAAAAATAGAGAGAATGCTCAAGTGAAATGTAAACAGGAAAATAAATAGAAATTTAAAGAGTGTGAAAAAAAACGAAAGTTATTTAAATTTAAATTAGAAAGAAACGTCTAAATAAAAGCAACAGTTTTAAATCTATTTTTTTTTCTGACAATCGCATTTTCTTTTCATTTTAAAAATGACTTTACATTATTCGCGAAACTAAAGCCATTTCACATTATTTTCACAGTAATAGAGTCAATTTAACAAAATTTAAGACATACATCTTCATAAATTTTTTTTTTTCAACTAACCTGAAGAATCGTGGCAGGGACTTTTGCACTGCTATGAATCATATGGGTCGCTGTGGATAAATCCTCATCATCAAGAATTGTTGCACCGAGACTAAAATTGTCAAAATAGATTAAGGAAAAAAAATGCACATACAATATTATTCACCATTTACAACGAGTAAAGTACTAAGAAAAATAATAAAGAAATAATAAAAAATAAAATAAAAATAATGGTAAAATCATGAAAATATTGTGTCCCGCGTGTATTTTCTTGTCGAGAAAAAATGGACCATTAGATTGTCGCTGGGTCATCTGTAAAAATTGCCCTCAGGGATGTAATCTGTCCAATAAGACGTTTTGTATTCACAAGAAATACAGTCAAAGACGACATACTTTTCCCTCGAGTGCTTCTTTTCTACTTTTTAGCTTTTCCTTTCTCTAAGAAAACTACTTACAAATGCAGAGTTATAATTACTACTCTTCACAAGGGTTGTTGGCGCATTTCAAAAGTCTGCGAAGCTTCCGAGAAAAAACTAATTTGACAAAAAAAAAAATTACATATACTAAAAAGCTCCATTTATACAATAGATAAATTTCTAAATGAATTTTGTTGGAAAAACTTGTTGTTCTTCTTTTGAAAAAGTAAAAAAAGTTGAACGCTGATATAAAAAAAAAACTTAAAGTGATGAAACTAAAAAAATAGTACTTTAAAATTATATGTTAATAATTAACATATAATTATTATTAATTTAAATAATTGTCAATTCTTATTTTATAAATGGAAAAAATTCCGCTTTTTAAATGAAAGCATTTATGAATTATTTATAAATACTGATTCGATAATCTGTTACGCATTTATATTGTAATATTAATCAGCTATAGAGTTAAGCTTCTTATAGAAATGAGAAATATTTCAATATTTCTGTTAAAATGAACAAAATGAGAAAACAAATTATATGTCAAATACAATATCCATTTTCAAATATTGAATTCATTAAAACGCAATATTTTTTGTATTATCGAATATAATGAATTTTAATTCATTATAATGGTTTATTAAATAAAAATATTAATTACTCAATTCATTCAAACGATAAAAAATTTTTTCAAACAAAAAAATTCCAAGAAAATTTATTATCTGAATTGTTAAATTTTTAAAAATGTAATTATTAAAAACAAAATTTTTCCAAAAAAATTTTTGAATTCACTTTCCTTTTCCTATCTTTTTTTAAAATAAAAAGAAAAAGAGAGCAAAATACATTACAATTGAAATTGAGATGTTTTCTGTTAAAATATTTTTTTTCATAACGTCATGTTGATCTTTTCCATTTTCATATTTATGAAGTGCGCGAGGACTAAGAAGCAAGTAATGTGTTTTTGGATATAACTTCATGTTTTTCCAACAGGACGACACTTTACCAAAGGGAAAAATTATAACCTTCTCTATACCTGCGTGGACATTCAAGTTTTCTTCTCTCAACAAGATTAGAAAAATTTCCATTTAAAAAAAATTCGAAATTTATCATTTTAATTTTTTTTAAAATAAAAATCGTGTGTTTTAAAATAAAAAATAAAATACAAAATTTTGATTTAATATAAGTATTAAATTTTATAAAAATTCAAAGAAACATGTAAAAAAAAATTCATATTTTAAAGAAAACTCAAATCTCAAAGAATTAAAAATCAATTTTTCAAAAATTTCAAATTTCAATAAAGAAAAAGGATACGTTTTTAATGTTCTTTCAAGTTTTTTTTTTTCTTTGCGTTTGTAATCTTTGGCGAAAGTAACTCGAATATTCCTCAAGGCGCATTTAATATTCTGAAATAATTTTAAAGATAATAATATTATCAAAAATTCAAACGTAATGCAACGCAATTTTTAGTCAGGTCACAATCGTATCTCTTTTAAATGTCTTCTTTTTTTTTCTCATCGCACACAAATATTTATCAAAGTGATGAAATTTAAAGAGATCTAATTAAAGAAATTACATAATTTCCTTAAAATTAGTTTTGAAATCTCTTTATAAGTTTCCAAACATATTTACAAAAATGAAATAATAATAATAATTAGAAAAATAATGAAATAATTTTACCAATTCTTTTTTATCGAGCTCAGACAGAGGTTTTGCATTTCTTGGCAAAACTTCTGGTGGTTTTCTCCCTTCTATCCAATTCAAAGGAATTCCTTTTTCATTGTATTCAATGTACTGTAAACGCCAACGTAAAAGTTTAAAAATAAATAATTATGAAAATGTAATGTATGGTATAATTTGTAACTATAAAAATTTACTGGTGTAAAAAATTAATATTTAACTTTAATAAATAATTTATATTTAATTAAATAATCTAATTTTTAATAGAAACATTTAAATTTACTATAGAGAAATAAAAAATAATAAAAATTATACCCACATCATTTCCATGAAACGAATAGAATTTTGGTTCATTTTCATCAATTATTTGAAAACTTTTGCTAGACTCTCCAATTTCAATTTTTTCTCCAGACACTTTTCTTTTTCGAGTGAATTCTTTTTTATATTTATGATCGTCTGTTTCATATTTTTCTTCTTTTTTTACTTTTTTCATTTTCAAATTATCCTTATCCGAGGTAATGGTGTCCAATTCTTGTTTCACTTTTTCCTCGTCCGAAGTATCAATGAAAGAATCGTCTTTTATGATATTCTCACGCTGTTTCTTGACCTCTTCAATTTTTAGCCGCTTCTTTGGACTTTTTTCTGGTGAATTTGATTCATTTTTTATTTCTTTTTTTACAAATGTGTCCAATGTTCTCAAATCTTTAGAATTTTTTTTCTCTCTTTTTTCGTTCTTCATCGTAGTCTTTGCTTTTTTTGTTGGAGATTCGCTAGAATCACTTTCGAAAAAAAAAATTTATCACACCCTAAATATGTTATAAGAATTCTTTTTTCTTTTTTAAATAAAAAGTAAGAAAATATTTTTATTAAATAAAAAGTACGAATTTTAAATTTTTTGAAAAATAAAATTTTTAAATTATTTTATAATTTTTTGAAAATTATAAATTCAATAACAAAAAAAAAAAAACAAAATTAGTGAATAAAGAAAAAGAAATTCAGAAATTTTTGATATAAAACTTACTTGCTGCTGCTAGTCGAATTTAAAAGAAGGGAAAAATCAGTTGATTCAGCGCTATTCTTGAAAAGATTTCGAAGTTCGTTTAGATTTGTAGCGGTTTCCCAATTTTTGTCACTTCTAATTCGAGTTACTCTTGGAAATCTAATACTAATGCCATCAGCCGTATGTACACCTTGATTTGTAAATTCTGCACCTGTAATTTCCCAAACTGGCTGATTCTGAAAAATTGTCAATTAATCAATGTGCAAATCAATACAATTTTTAAAGATTACTAAAAAAAAGTATTACCTTCGGATCTCTCGCTACAAAATCTGGTATCATTGGTTTATTTGCTAGCAACCATTTTGGAACAAGATTCGGATCCTTTCCTATTTTCACCATATCAAGTTCGTCTTGAAGTTTTTCCAGCGTGGCATCATCGTGACCAGTATGAACCTTTTTTATGTACAAAATAAAAATTAATTAAAAATCAATTAATTTAACAAATATAAGTTCAATTTTCAAATTGTATTAAAATTATAATTAATCAAATAAAGTATCTATCACGTATAATTAATAATTTCAAATTCAAAATTACAAAAATAAGAAAAATAAATTCTATCATTTTTCCAATACCTTTGTATAAACGAATGAACATTTTTACCCGCGTTTTTGAATAAATAAATAAAATTGGTTCAATATTCAAAATAAAATCAGAATAACGCAAGTTGAATATTAGAAAAAGTAAATGAAAATTAATTTCGATTATCTAGTTTTTTTTCAACAAGATAAGGTCGATTAAATTTTCTAATAAATGAGTTTAGAAAATAATAAGAAAAAAAAATTCAAATAAAATAAAACGATGAAGAAAAAAGGAAACAAAAAATTATTTACAAATTCAAATCAATATTCTGTTACCTTAGTTACTGTGAGCCAAATATCTCTATCGGTATCGTAACATCCCATAAGAAAAATAGACATCATACCACCTAAAATTTGATAAAAATAAAAAAAATATTTAAATTTAAATTCATCTTATTCCAAAAAAGAATATAAAATATATTAATAAAAAGTATTAAAAAAAAAAACCTTTTTGACCAGTTCCATACCAGGCACCGAGAACCACGAGATCTGCGGTATCAGCCATCGCGCCATGACATAAATAATCCTTCTTTACCTTCAACCAATGTCGTTTTCCAGGTTCATATTTACTCTGTAAAAAATTTTTCAAATCAAAAAAATTAATCTATAAATGTGAAATATTTTTTAACTCTTCTTTTCTTACTTACATTTATACTTTTTAAAACTAATCCCTCAAGGCCCATTTTCAAAACTTTTGCTATCATTTCTGCCAAGTCTTTTGGTTTCTAAAAACAATTTTTTTATGCACGATTATAATGATGGATTGATAATTTATAGAAAAAATAAAAAATTTAACTACTTTATTTTTATGAAATACCTACGTTTATTTCCTTAATTTCGGAAAGTTTAATATGATTAGGAATTTCTGTCAAATTTTTCTCAAGAATCTCTCGCCTTTCTTTCATCGTTCTGAAAAATGTAAATAGATATAATAAAATAAAAATATCTACTACTTAAGAGTGTTGCAAAACATTCTATAAAATCACAAAGCAAATTAAAATTAATAACAAAACTTTAATAAAAATCTAAAAAAAAAAAAAAAAAAAAAAAACTGTAAGAAGAAGAAAAATATAAAGAAAAAAGTAAAAAAAAATTGTAGAAAAATGATTTCAATAAATTATGACATATTTGACAAACAGGAAAAAGATCATCGACAATATTCTCACTTGTTTAGAAGTATTTCGCCATTCATGTAAATACAATCAAACACAAACAGACAAACATTTGCGTCTTTAAATTCGGCTCTCTGTTAAAAAAAATTAATTCACATTAAAATTATTATTATTAAATAGATTAACGAAATTCAATTTAAACATTTACCTTATGAATTCCTAATGTACCAAATGGCAAAGGTTGTCCAGTTTTCGTGTCAATCATTAAAATTTCTGCATCCAAAATTAAATCATTAGCGTTTGGAAACGCTTGGGGAATGAAATCTTTTAACATCTTCACCTGAAATTGAATAAAAATTTTCAGATTTTTTTTCAGTTTTTAATTTGATTATAGGAAAAAGAAAATTTTCAATTTAGAAAGTAAAATGAAAAAAAAATGATAAACACATAAAATAAAAAAGTAGTTATAAAAGAGAAATATAAAAAGATATAAAAATAATTCAAAAAAAGAAACATAAAGATATAAAAGATACCATAATGCCGTAAGAAGAAATGATGACAATTTACTTAATTTCAGAGAATTTCATAATTAATTTCAAAATTATTGAAAATCATCTCATTTGTTACAATCACACTCTATAATCAAAATTATTAAGTGTCGAAAAAGATTATAAATGTTGCGCAGAAAGAAAACAAATAAAAAGCGCAAAAAAAATCTAAAGTATTATTGATTAAAAAGTAGGTCATGGAAACAAAACTAAGAATGTAAACAGAAAATTTCAATGTTTTTTTTTTTTTTTTAGAAATATTTAGAAATGTTTAAAAACATTCTAATGCGCCTAATTTATTAACTATAAATTAATTTAAAATCAAACTTTTATAATTACAATTTTTGTAAAAATTCTATTTTCTAAAGACTTTAATTTAATTCAAAGTTTTTGTCTAATATACAAATATATGTATATGAGAGATTCTTTTTCAATCGCCCCAGCCCAAAAAGTCAATGTTCTGGGATTGGCTTCATACTTTGGTAAATTGTTGTCCTATATGATAGTAATAAATCCCTAAAATATAAACTCATTAAAAACATATTTGTAGAAAGTAGAGGGGGTTGAAGTTTTGACGTTAAGGGTAACATTGTCATTTTCAAATCCGTTTAACTATGACAAAAGTTAATGGATTTTAATTTATCTATAATGAATTTTATTGCATTTTTCACGTACTTTTCAAAAATGTATATGAAATTTAAAAAAAAAATTTTTAACCCCTTTTTTGTCAAAATCAACCCTTATTTTTCGATTTTCACCCCTTCGGGTATTTTTTTTTTTTTTTTTTTTATTTTCATTGGAAAGCTGAGGTTTTTTCCGATGAGCTATGTAAATATGAAAATGGGACAACAATAATTTTGTGAGTAACAGAATATTAAAGTAGGCGGTGCCGATAAGGGTGCCGTTAAGGGTAACATTGTCATTTTCAAATCTGTATAACTATGACAAAAGTTAATGGATTTTAATTTATCTATAATGAATTTTATTGCATTTTTCACGTACTTTTCAAAAATGTATACAAAATTTAAAAAAAAAAAATTTTGACCCCTTTTTTTTCAAAATCAACCCTTATTTTTCGATTTTCACCCCTTCGGGAATTTTTTTTTGTTTTTTTTTTATATTCATTGGAAAGCTGAGGTTTTTTCCCATGAGCTATGTAAATATGAAAATGGGACAACAATAATTTTGTGAGTAACAGAATATTAAAGTAGGCGGTGCCGATAAGGGGTGTACCTGGAGATCATCTTTGAGGATTTAGATAGGCACCGCCTACTTTAATATTCTGTTACTCACAAAATTATTGTTGTCCCATTTTCATATTTACATAGCTCATGGGAAAAAACCTCAGCTTTCCAATGAATATAAAAAAAAAACAAAAAAAAATTCCCGAAGGGGTGAAAATCGAAAAATAAGGGTTGATTTTGAAAAAAAAGGGGTCAAAATTTTTTTTTTTTAAATTTTGTATACATTTTTGAAAAGTACGTGAAAAATGCAATAAAATTCATTATAGATAAATTAAAATCCATTAACTTTTGTCATAGTTAAACGGATTTGAAAATGACAATGTTACCCTTAACGTCAAAACTTCAACCCCCTCTACTTTCTACAAATATTTTTTTAATTAGTTTATATTTTAGGGATTTATTACTATCATATAGGACAACAATTTACCAAAGTATGAAGCCAATCCCAGAACATTGACTTTTTGGGCTGGGGCGATTGAAAAAGAATCTCTCATATAAATATAGAAATGAAGGCTGAGATTAATTTTCTCAAAGTGATCTAAATAATTGTATAATTAATAACTTACTTTATGCTCCATGACAGGTTTTAAAGATCGACTGAAATATCGAAATTCGTTGCCTTTTTTATGAACTTGTACCCTTTCACCGTCATATTTGACTTCTGATAACATTCCATCTGGACATTTTTTCATCGCCATTTCAACAGATTTACAAGCTTCTGCCTAAAACAAAAAAATTCAAGTTCATATTTATTTAATGACATAATACAATTTTCTTCAAATATAAAAAAGAAATTGAGAAAAATCTATTTTTATACTTTGATAATTAAAAAATCAAAGTTTTTTAAAATGTAACTTTAATTAAAATTTTCTAGGAATTTTTTAATTTTAATTCTTTACATATAAAATATTAGATAAAATTAAAATCAATTTTAAATAAATGTTTTCCTGTATTATAAATCATTGGCAAAGACAATAATGAAAAATGTATTAATTAAAAAGCTCGTCTCGTCCGATGTGAAGGCGATTAAAACTTACTGCCTCATGGGGTGATATAAAAATCTCATACTTTAAAATTTGATGACGCAAATTCATATTTTTCGTGTATTATATTCCCGAACTTAATTTAATATCTGCTATTCAAAGCCAATTATATATCCAGATTTCAAAGATTGCAACTTATGTTTAGATCATAAATTTTACAGCAGATAACATAAAAAAAAGAAATTGATTGATTCTCTAAATTTTATCGACTTAATAATTCAAACATAATTTCCACTTTATTGTACCGCGAACAAGTAAATTTAAAGTTGATTTTAAAATTTAAAAAAAAAATGATAAAAAATAATTAGAAACTTAAAAAAATTGTCAAAAATATAAAGTTACATATTTTTTTTCAATTACAAAATTATAAAAACTTACCAGCATTGGTAAAACTGGCGTCATTATTGTGAGAGACACTTTTTTTTGTATTAAATCATTTTTAGAATCAGAACCAGAAGTTTTATCAGAATTTGAAGATGAAGGACCACCTAAACAACGTTGAATCACAGCTTCCAAATCATTTGACAATTGAAACGCAGTATATGCATCTTTATCAATAGCTTCGAGTCTACAAAAAAAAAAATCAACATTTATGTCAAAAAAAAAGTACTTAATTTAATGAATAAGAAAAAAGTTTTTACATATGCTTCGGTCCTGCATTAATCCTCAAGTCGTGTTTAATTAATCTGATGATAATTTTTAAATCATTTTCAGTGCATCTAAAATATGATATTCGAAATTAATTTCCATACTAATTAATCTTTGAATTCAAATTTCTGATTTTAGAATAATTTTTTTTTTCTTCAATTAGAATAAATTTATACCTACCTAACGATAAAAGACTTGAAATGATTCATTTGATCAAGCTCCTTGGTCAATGTTGACAGTTTTATCAAAAATTTATCCACCTATTGAGAAAAGGAAAAAAAGGAATATTTAATATATAACTCTTTTTTATATAAATATTTATAAAATGTAATTAAATAAATAACTTAAAAAAAAAATTATAATGCTCATTTGGACTTTATATTATAAACAATTAAATTGTTCTAAGTTGATGGGGAGGGTTATATTGTAAAACTTGGAAAGTATACAATAAAGAAAAATAAATCTAATCTAACTTCTAAAAAAAATTCATTTAATCAAGGTAAATTTTTTAAAATAAAAATTAAAACAAAATGTATTTAAATAATTGATTTGAATCTACGAGAAAATATAAATAAATCATCTATACTATAAATATTATAATTTGTCTTCAATTCTAGAGCTAATTCTATAACGAAAGAAATAAATGGTCCAGATTAAAGAAAAGGTCTTTTCATTATTAAAAAATAATCAATTATTTGTATCGGAAAGAGAAAATCATTCCGAAAAGTTATTAGCATAAACGATTCATTGTACTATTAATCTACAAAAATGAATTTCACTTAATTAATAAGAATAAAATTTTTATATTTTTCCACGAAAAAATAATAAAAATTTTTGCTTACAAATTTTTGTTTTAAAAATTTATTCAACAAGAAACGTTGCAAAAATATTTTAAAACAAAAATTTATAATAATTTGTAAAGAAAAAAAACTTTTTATTCTAAATCGTTGATCATAAACGTTGTGAAATTCACCAACGTGTTGATCTAGCTATATTTTTGTTAAATAAAAATAACTCAAAAATTTTACACTATATAAAAGTGTTGCGCCGTGCAAAATAAAATTGACAATATTATACTAAAAAAAAAATTGTATTAAAAATTGTTTTCTATTTATAAAAAGACAAAAATTTATATAATTATTATTTTCACGTTAAAAAAAAAAATTTAAAGAAACATGTATTTCTTATAGACTTAAAAAAATAATTTAAAATATTAAACTATTTTTCCCAAGACGAGTATGAATCGAATCATCATCATCATCATTGAGGTAATAGTTTGCTTGAAATGATAATTATCATGCAGTGAATATAATAAAACTGCATTTTTTTGAAAGCGTCACTAAATCAACATATATAAACTATTGAATTTAGTTTTCGAAGAAATTCCATAAATTGTGTAAACCAAATCAATGATCTCATCTCATCATCGATCAGAAATTCGTAGAATGTAGTCGTAAATTAGCAAACCATCGATTATATTGCGGTAATATATTTGCACAGATGGAAAATGTTTTTCATGCAAATGAAAACAAATATTATATCTATTACAAGATGCAATTTGCAATCTTGTTAAAATATTAATGTCATTATATACAACGAACATTGTTCATTTTCCAGTTTTATATATACATATATATGGATATCGATAAATTCTTTTAGAATATTACGTAAAAAATAAATAAATAAAAAATAAATTATTTATCAAAGTTAACATAAAAATGGTTAAAAATTTTTTTAAATCATTGTAAAACTTTGTAAAAAAATTCTTATTATCATCAAAGTTATCATATAATTAAATTTTATTCAAAAACAAATTTTTTTTGGAAAATTTGAAATACTATTAAAAAAAAAAAAAAAATACTTTTCAAAATTAAATGTCAATAAAATATTGAATATTATAATAAAAGTTAATTGAAATGAATTTGAAAAAAATTTGAATTGTTTTAATTGGCATTTTTAGGATAATTTTTCTAATTTAGAGAAAAAGAGAGTGTTACCTCCTGTATTGTGATTACACTTTTGATATTAGGTCGTATAGCTTCACTACTTCCAAAAAATTCAGTAATTGTGTCTGCAATGTCTCCCTGTTCTAAATGTTCAAGCATTGAGCTTTCGTCCTGTTTTAATATTCTTGCAAAGAGTTTAATTAGCTGCTTACTTTGTAGATTATATATTCTCTTTGCAGTTCCAGGTAATAACAATTTACACCACATAACGATATCGCTTTGAAATCCATCTGAAAGCATTTTATGTAAATTATTATATCTACTTATTAATAATAATGTCAAATTCTATATTTAGTCGTTATTAAGTCTATTCCATAATTTAGTATATATTTCGTTGAACCCAAATAATAAGATAAACACAGTTAAATATAGAAATGATTCTTTTTATTTTTATTAAACAAATACAATATAACAAAAAACTTCAAAATTAAATTATTGAGAATAAAAAAATTTTTTTTTCAAAAACAACGAAATTTCTTTTTTTGGAGAAAATTTTTGTAACGATATTAGTTATTTTTTCAGTAAACAACAAAATACATAATTGAGGGAATAATAAAATAAACAATTTATAAATAAGTCCTCACACAGAATATTAAATTAAGAACATAGTGAGGGAAAAATGACAAAGTTGTATGCAATCGTCAAAGCACAACAAGTGGAAAATTACGGGGACGACCATTTGATAAGAAATTATCTTAAATATTCAATAAATAATATTCCCTGAACAAGAATTTCTTCAAACTTTGCAGACTGTTAGCCGCCTCTTTTATAACTATCCAAATCCACTGCACTCACTCTCAATTCGAAAATTATAATATTTACTCAAATTTAATAAAAATTAGAAACAATGTTTTATTTTTAAAATTAAATGTTAACATTTTTAATTTTAATGAATAAATTTGTATATTTAATTTATCTGATGTTTTTAATACACTATATTTTTATTTTTACATAAATTATAAATAATATTAATTAAATTTATTATTAATTCTTTTAATTAATGGTTAATATGAAAAAAAAAATGATTTGAATTTTATTGGTATGGAAATTCATAGCCACGTTTTGAAAAAAAAAAAATAATAATAAATAATTTTCTTTATCTTATGCAAAATAATCACAAGTTCAGTGATCCTCCTTTTGAACCTTGTATATATATATATTGGTAAGAAAAGACCATCAGTGCCAATATCATTGAATTTCTTCAACTGTTATATCACAAAATATCTATTTATTACGAAAATCGTTATTCAATCAGTGACATTTTAAAACGAACAATATGTATTTATGATGTTTACGGAAGAGCCTTGATCATCGAGATCATTGGCTAATAAATGAATGAAGCTGCTTTTTAGGTAGACTTCATGGTTCAATGCAAGACTGATTTACTCAATGACTATATCAAAATCAAATCAGAAATTTCTGGTTTTATGCTAATTTAAGAATTCTGAATTTTAGATTTTGAAAAAAATACACACACATAAAAATAACTAAGATTTATTAATAAATTTAAAGGGAAGACATGGATGTATAAGAGTTTTTTTTTCCAAAACTGGAAAAACTGTTTTTCACATTTTTGAAAATCTAAAAATAAAAACATTTTTAAACTAAAAAAAAACTCTGGTAAAGAATGAAAAAAATCATTTTGAACACTCAAAAAACATTAAAAAAAGTCTTCGAATAAAAAATGGAAAAACGAGAGTTTTTAAATAAAAAACAATTGTTTTTCTTTAAATCGAAACTTTAAAAATCGTTAATGAATAATGAAGTAAAAAAATGAAATTTGAAGAAAACGAAAAAAGTAAATCGACACATGAAATTCGAATTACATAGTCGTAATATTGGAAAAAATCACGATTACTCATCGCAGTATTTAGTATTTAAAGTAGCAAAGCCACATGCAAAATATAAATATACGATTCGCGAAAAGTCTAATACATCGACCTTGTAATATATCACGCAAAAAGTATGACGTATGACATTTAAGAATTTTTATGAATTAATAAAAAGCCGCGCATCTTCTCTGAACTCTTGAGCAATTTACAAATGCAGATCGAACTTGTTCTCCGCACTGAAAGAAATTTCATAGGAAAAAATAACAAAATGCGTATTACATTTTAATATATTCTTTTAGAATTTAGGGAAAAGTGTACTTTTTATTAAAATTCAATATACTCTATATTAAAGTTCCAACTTAAAATCTTTTTTCAAATATTAATAATTATTGTAGAAAGAACGTAAAAAGATTACCAATATTTGAAAATATTATATTAAATTCTCATAGAGTTGTTGCATTATATGGAATGTAGCGTTCTAATATTTGTAAAACTTTATACGAAAAATTGAGAATGTCGGAAGAAAAGGGAAAAAAAGTGGAAACTCGGACGTTTCCGTTAATTCTCGGGAGGAAGAGGAGTGAGACTAGGAACAACACATTCACACTTACGATACAGGTTAATACACATACTAATGAACACGCACGTTCATTTCGCTTATACATAGACATTACACGATCGCAACGAAACCTACACTTACAATTCTATACGCATAACGATAAATTTCGCTGGGGGTCGGCATATATCGTTTTCTTATATACTAACTACTGAATATTTTTACCACTTGCGAGAAAGAAGTTTACTTATAATAACTTAATAATAAAAAATAGTTTACTAGTGCCAATGGTGTAATTTTATAGAGGTTACGCTGGGTTCATTTTTATTATTAATTGTTTATATAGATTTTTCTTTTTTTTCAGATTAAAAATTATGATTGTTATAAAAATTTTTATTGCAAATAAAAATCAAATAATTGTAAAGATGACATCAAAAAATAATAATTAATAAAAATAATAATAAATTTAATAATTATAAATGTTTTCTGTGGCACTATAAACATTTGAAACACGTGTGTTGACAGTTGATAGGTACGTTCTGCTGGTTAACAACACTTTCGAAAATCGGATCAAGTCGTAGAAGTTCGAGTAGGACACGAAGCCGCAAACAGACAGAACTTCGGTTAAATTCGTAGTCTCTCGGGAAAATCCGTGACTTTTAATATAAAGTTTTACAAAATGTGAAATAAGTATACGGATATATGTTATTTTTCTTACTATTTTGTGAAATTATTTATTATAATATTTCGTATTCTGTGAATTCATAAAGAAAATACTAATTTTTAAAATAAATATACTAATTTTTATTTCTTAAAATAATAGTTACTCTTAAATTCATTATATATTTTCATAAAAACTGTAATAGTAATCAGTATAGGTGCACTTTTTCCCTAAATTGTAACATTTATATTAAACTCTAATATGAGTTTAATACTTAGTAGTATGAATTTTCTTTCAGTGCGTAATCCAAATTTTTGTAGATTCTCGAAATTTTCAATAAATTACGAATTTAATAATGCAATTACATTAATTACTTAATTAATTGAAAATTTACAAAATCTTAATTTTCATGTGTATATATTTTACTGTTTACTTTAATAAAGTTCCAAAAAAATATAAAAAAAAAACAATGGGCATTAAAAATATTCAATCATATTTCACGCTTGCATTGAATCTGAATAATTACGCTAATTACTTTTTGATACTTAGTAGAAGCATTATAAGAAAGAAAATACAAGAAGATTAAAATTTATTTTCAGAATGAAACAAATTGATTTGTAAAGAAAAAACAAAATTGAAAAGAATTAAAATTCAGCTTTAGAATTAAACGGATTTATTCGGAAAGAATATTTTGTTAAATATATTTTAAAATTTTAATTTTAATAGAAACTAATTGGCTCGGAAATAAATTTTCAAAATATCTTGGAATAAATATTTATTAAAATTGATTGAAATTTAATCCGAGGCTTTCGTTAGGGTAATAACCATTTTTTTCACAGGCAATAAGAAAGAAAATAATTTTTTCCAAAAAAAATTCCAAAGCAAAAAAAAAAGTGTTCCAAAGAAAAAATAAAAAATTTTCAAAATTAAAGAAGCAAAACTAATTTTTTTCACGAATTTTTTTTTTAAAGAAATTTAAATACAAAAAGATAAAAAAAATTGTCAACTTTGTTTAAAGTGTTTTTGTACCCTTTTGAAGTCAAGAACAAAGTTTTACATTAATTCAACGATTATCAAAATTTATGTTTATACTGCAGTTATAATTTTTTCTGTTTCACCTCTATACTAAAGTCAAGAACCTCTAAAGTTTTATTAAAAAAAAATAATTATTATAATATTTAATATATTCAGTTTGTCATGACACGAGATCATTGTCATGAAGAATGCTAGGTCAGTCGGTGTAAAAAATTATTTTTCACAACTCTAGGCGCAGACAACAGCGGATATTTCCTACGAATGCAGCATACTAATCAAATCAGGTCAAAATAAGAACAAGTTTAGAGTCAGTGACACTTATAGGAAAATCTACAAAAATAAAAAGCAAAAAATATAATTAAATTCATTTTTTGAATATTCTATAAATAAAATGAAACAAAAGCAGGAAAATGGAGAAATTTTTTTTTTTTAGAACATTAACCCCATTTCATATAATATATTATATCAAAAAGTGGAATTCACTAAATTATTCAATTATATTATTAAGATGAAACAAAAATGAATTATATATTCCAAAAATTTTCAAAAATTGTAATTTTATATGGAATTTTTAAATACAAACATTTTAATTTAATTAAAATATTGATTATTAAAATGTTTAATAAAAAATGATATTTAACTGACATAAAAATAAATACCTAATCGTCATTTGTTTCAATTTCGTAATTCTAATCGAAGATAAGAAATTTCCTTAAAAAAAAAAAAAAAAGTATAATTAATCCGCGCGTGTTTCATGCTTTAAGTACCTATATCACTTTTTTTTTGCACATTTGTAATCTGCTTTTTATCATTCAAATTAAATGAGAGAACATGCTATAATTGCTTAAGTGTTAAATAAAAAATTACACAAACGTTGTAAAAGGTCAGCGCATATCAATCCCAAAAAAGAAGCAATTGTCAAAATTCAGTACTAATCTGAGGCTTTTGAACTTTATATTTATATAAAGATGCGTTAAAATCACTGTTTAAAAACCTTGAAATTTAAAAAATTTCGTAAATTACATTTTTTTTTCAATAATATTAAAAAATAAAAATTAATTTGATATTCAATTTTTTTTACAGTTTTTGTAAGAAAAAAAGGGGATTTTTAAATTAATTGATTAATATTAATTAAAAAGGAAGAAA